TGAACAAACTCTGAGGGGATACGATTTTACGCACAAGCAGCTCATCATCCCATCACAGCATTCCGACAGTCTTTGAAAGCAGCTTGTGCAGGAGAAGGCATCATGAGCAACCCAGCCGGAACCGGAGAAGCAGGAGCTGGAGCGGGTCCAAGCCTGGAAGAAAGGTACCGGGTGTTGGAGGTCCAGCTAGCGATGCAGACGGCGAGGCTTGAGGAGAGGAGGGCTCAGGATGCAGACAAAAGGGAAAGCCACCCAGCTCGCCAGAAAGGTACCAGGATTGGTGCAGAAGTTTGGGGAGCCCAAAAACAATCATGGCTTTCGGACAGAAATGCAATATGCCCTCAATCTGCAGTTTGATGAATTCCCTGACGAGGAATCACGAGTGGCTTTCGTGATTGAGCATCTTGAAAAGGGGCGAGAGACTGGGTTAGACCCCTGATGGCAGCGAATAGTGACGTCCTAAAGGACACGATGAAGTTCTTTCGCGCCATGGATCTGATGTTTTCCAGCGATATTGAACAGGGAGTGGTGCGCAGACAGTTAATGGCTTGCAAACAAGGGAGCCGATCTGTCCGTGAGTACTGGACTGAGTTCACCATGCTTGTTCACAGATTGGGGTGGGACTTATCGGCGGAACCCATTCAAATGCTCTTTGAAGAAGGGCTTTCTTCGGCTGTGAAAGACGAACTTTCCCGGGCGCCCAGGGCGGAGTCTATGGACCAGCTGACCAAATCAGCGCTGACCATAGGAGCGCGCCAGGAGGCGAGAGCATTGGAGGCGGGAAGGGAAGGGGAACGTTGGAAGGAGTTCCGCATTCCAGACATTCCAGAGCCAACTTTCCCGCCGGCAGAGCCGATGGAAATCGGAACAGCGCGCGCGCTGCAGTTTCAAAGCCCAGTGAGGGGAAAGAAGGAGGGAAAAGGCGCCCGGAAATGCTATCTCTGCCAACAGCCAGGTCACTTTGCCAGAGTCTGCCCCCAGAGGAAGGAATGGCAAGGGATGGTAGGAGCTGTGGATGGAAGAGAGGAAGAAATACCGGAGCAAGTAAAAGCCAACGCCTGGCTGCCACTGTCGGGGCACAGCAGCCAGGCCAAAGAGCAGTGAGAGTGCCCACGCCAGAACCTCCTAAACCCGCCCTAGTGATAGAAGTGACGCTAGAGCTGCCAAACGGACACCCTCTAAAGATAAAGGCGCTGTTGGACTCAGGCAGCTCCTGCAATTTCATGAGCAAAGAGTTTGCAGCTGAACACCAGATACAGACGATCCCTTTAAGCAACCCCTGCAGGTGACCACGATCGATGGCAGGGAGCTGTTGGGAGGAGAAGTCAGCTTGCAGACCGTCCCAATGATAATGAAGGTAGCAAGGCACACCGAACTGATAGCTTTTAATGTGGCCACCTTGGGAGGAGCTCCCATTATATTGGGGATGAGCTGGCTAGCGTTACATGATCCGCTGGTGGGCTGGCATCAGAGAGTGGTTTCTTTTGGTTCAGCACATTGCTTAGAACACTGCAAAGAGGGAAAGGGTTTGGCAGGGGCCCAAGCCACCCTAGCAGGGACTGAAGTAACGGAGAACGTGAAGGTACCACGACAATATGCAGATCTCCGTGACGTCTTCAGCGAAAGGGAAGCTGACCAACTACCCCGCATAGACCCTTTGACTGTCAAATCAATTTACTCCCTGGAGCACAGCTCCCTGTAGGCAAGCTGTACGCCATGTCAGACAGAGAGATGCAGGAGTTAAGAGAGTTCATTGACAAGAACCTGAAGAGAGGGTTCATCAGAGAGTCCAGGGCGGTGGGGGCAGCCCAGTGTTTTTGTGGATAAAAAAAAAACACGAACAAGCCGAGGCTGGTGTGTGACTTCAGGGCCTTAAATGCAGTGTCAGAACCAGTGGCCTTCCCTATGCCCAGGATTGACGACATTTTGACAAGGGTGCGGAAGGGAAAGATTTTCACACAGCTGGACCTAAGGGGGGGGCGTACAACCTGGTACGAATAAGGAAGGGGGATGAATGGAAAACCACTATGTTCACCCCTTTAGGGGCATTTGAATATTTGGTTATGCCCTTCGGCCTACAAGCAGGCTCCGCAACATTTCAATCGTTTATGAACCACGTCCTGGGGCCTTTGCTTTACAAGAATTGTGTGGCCTTTTTAGACGACGTGTTGGTGTATTCTGAGAATGAGGAGCAGCATGTGAGAGACGTCAGAGAAGTGTTGAGCAGGCTGCAAGCCAACCAGCTGTGGGTGAAACTGGAGAAGTGTCAGTTTCATACCAAGGAGGTGGAATTCCTGGGGTATCGCCTGTCAGACAAGGGATTGGCCATGGATCCCGGCAAGGTCCAGGCGGTGCTGGAATGGAAAACACCCAAAACAAGGAAGGATGTGCAGAGGTTCCTAGGATTTGGGAACTTCTATCGTAAGTTCATCCGAAACTTTGCCCACCTGACGGCGCCCATTACGGACTGTCTCAGCAGTAAGAAGAAGTTCGTTTGGACTGAGGAGGCGGAGCGAGCATTTGAGGAACTAAACAGGGCCTTCGCCTCGGAACAACAACTCCTGCATGTGGATTTACAAAAACCGATGAGAGTGGAAACTGACGCATCAGACAGAGCGATTGGGGCGGTGCTTCTGCAGCCAGGGAAGAAGGAGTCAGAGTGGAGACCGTGTGCCTTTTTTCGCGAAAGCTGAACAAATCCGAGAGGAACTACACGGTGTATGACCGAGAACTACTAGCCATTCATGAGGCGTTCCGGAGATGGAGGCACCTGCTAATTGGCGCACAACATAAGGTGCAAGTGTGCACTGACCACAAGAACCTAGAGTATTGGAGGACGGCACGAGTGCTCAACCAACGGCAAGTGAGATGGGCCCAGGAGTTCTCCAAATTTAACTTTGAGATTTGTTACGTGCCAGGCCCAGAGAACATTAGGGCGGACGCTCTCTCACGCAAACCTGAATATTTGGAGGGGAGGAGCACCCGAAGAGAGACATGTCATTCCAGAGGACCGCTGGGTGTGTGGGGCGGCATTGGTGGGACAAAGAGAACTGGTAGAGGAAACAGAGAATGATGAATACGCCCAGAATAAGCTCAGAGGTCTTAGGGGTGAGGGAGAGGAACCAGGGGTTTCGAGGAAAGAAATGGAGCTTTGTATTACAAAGGGGCACTGTATATCCCTGAAGGAGAGTTAAGGGGAGGGTACTCAAGCAGTTGCACGACAGCCCTACGGCGGGGCATTTTGGACAACACAAAACCATGTGGTTGGTCACCAGGGAATTTTGGTGGCCTAAGGTGAGGGAAGATGTACGTGAGTATGTAAGAGGGTGCGAGCAATGCCAGCGAGCCAAAGGGGAAAGGCGGGCGCCGGCGGGGCTATTAGAACCCTTACCAACCCCAGAACGACCTTGGGAGGCAGTGTCGATAGATTTTATGACTGATCTGCCGAAGTCCAAAGGGAAAACAGCCATCATGGTGGTGGTAGACCTACTAACAAAGATGTGCCACTTTGTAGCTTGCTCGCATGCAGTCACGGCGGAAGAGACAGCGAAGTTATTTGTAGAACACATTTTTAGGTTGCACGGGGTGCCATTGAGGGTGGTCTCAGACCGAGGAAAACAATTTACTTCCAGGTTCTGGAGGAAGCTCATGAGCTTACTGCAGGTGGAGGTCAATTTTCGACTGCCCGGCACCCTGAAACCAACGGGCAGGCGGAAAGAGCAAACGGTGTCCTCCAGCAATACCTGAGGTGTTATGTCAATGACAGAGAGAATGACTGGGTAGAAAAGTTGGCGCTGGCGGAATTTGCCTACAACAATGCCGAGAATGTGTCCACAGGGATGAGCCCCTTCTTGGCTAATTATGGGTGTCATCCCAGGGCTTTCCCAGGGGAGATGGGGAGAGATGGAGCGTCCCGGCAGCCGAGCATTTTGTGGAAGAAATGGAAGCAATCCATCGTCAGCTCCAACTCAACTTAGAAAGGGCGAAGGAAGAATACAAGAGGCAGGCAGACAAGAACCGAAGGGAAGGTGAAACCATAAGGGTGGGAGATAGGGTGTGGCTGTCAACCCAAGGGTTGCCGTTCAAAGGAGGTTGTAAGAAATTAAGACCCAGGAGGTTGGGTCCCTTTGAGGTCATTCAACAGGTCAACCCAGTGGCTTTCAGGCTCCGGTTACCCAACCACATGAAACTGCACCCAGTATTTCACAGGTCGTTACTGTCACCGTACGAAGGGGACGAGAAGGGATGGCCACTCGGGGACCGGTCATAGAAGAAAGAGAATGCAGCAGCCATGTGGCAGAAATCCTCGACGCCAGGTGGAAGGGGATCAGGTGGAGTATTTGGTAGCGTGGGAAGGAGAACCGAGTCAGAAAACACTTGGGTAATGGCCGAAGATATCAATGACGAGGTATTGATAGAAACGGTCCATCAAAGGTTCCCAAGGAAACCTCAGCCTGTGGAGAGGTTCCGGAGGAATACTTTGGGACCACTGATGAGGGGAGGAGTTGGAAGGATTCCCGGACTCGGAAGGGGAAGGAGAGATGGACTCTGAGGAGGAGGTGTACTTCGAGACCAGGAACCGCAACAGGTGGAGAGAAGTGTTCGAGACATCGGAAGATGAAGGAAGTTCATTCCGGGGTTTTGCCTCCTCACCGCCCGTAGAGGAGGGGGCGAGAGGGGGTGAAGGGGGCCCTGGAGGGGAGGTGGATGTCAGGGAACTGCCATCGGACGGAAGGGAGGTGAAAGGGCTCACACAGGTTGGGAGAGACTCAGCAGCTGAAGAGGGAACCAGCAGGGAGGTGAAAGGGCTCACACAGGTTGGGAGAGACTCAGCAGCTGAAGAGGGAACTGCTAGTGACTAGAGGAGCCATGTCTGAGGGGCTCCGTCACAGACAGAGGTTTGTGGACTTGAACAAACTCTGAGGGGATACGATTTTACGCACAAGCAGCTCATCATCCCATCACAGGTACTGTAGTTCAATAACATTTCCCAGCCTATCTGAAGATGTCAGGGACTGAACCAGAGACCTTTTGCATTCAAAGCAAAATGTGCTCTACAAATTGAGTTACAGTTCTTCTTCAACACATATATATCACTGAGGAACAAGAAAGCAGTACAACCCAGGCAAATTAAGCTAAAAGGCATTAGGCCTAAGCTGTACCTAAGCTGTACCATTTAGTACCATCAACTTTGGGGCAGAGAGAGATGTATTGAATGAAAGCGCTTGCACTTAGCATGTGGCTGATCAGCTGGAAAAACTGGATTCCTTTCTGAAATATTTGTACGGTGGTACCTCAGGTTACAGACGACGCTTCATGTTACAGGCTCCACTAACCCAGAAATAGTACCTCGGGTTAAGAACTTTGCTTCAGGAAGAGAACAGAAATTGTGCGGTGGCGGGAGGCCCCATTAGCTAAAGTGTTACCTCAGGTTAAGAACAGTTTCAGGTTAAGAACAGACCTCCAGAACGAATTAAGTACCACTGTATAGGATTGGGATTGAGATGAATGCCTTCTCATGTTAGCTGGAAGAAATGGCCAGACAAAAAAAAAATGGCCAAACCAGTTTCTTTGTTAAGTCAGTAACCTTGCCAGGATCTCTTAAGTTTCTGCTTTTTATGTGAGCTTGGGCCAAAGTGTTGCCATAGAAACTAAAAAGAAGGAGAAACTTATGGAAGGTGAGCTGAAGGGGCATGCCTTCCCCCGCCCACTCCTGCCTGGAGATGACATGTTATTTCTATTGTAAATCACTGTGGGACTTTTTAGTATGAAGTGCAAGTTTAATAAGTGCGTATGAGAGAAAGAACAGTCAGGCAGCTTTGGGACTGGAGTTGGAAAAGAGTCACTGAGGCCTGACTTGCTCTCTATGCTGAATTCAAAGCTATGCCCACCTCCAAGAAGTAAAAACATAAGGGGGAGGGGGAGGATCTGTTGGAGTGCTGATTTGAGCCTTCCATCTTATGCTCACCTTGTGTGTATGTGTGTGCATAAACAAACCTTATATTATACAAGCACAGTAAGTCTCCAGTAACCTTCATTCCAGGGAAATTAAACCCAAGACATGTGCTGGGACTCCTGAAACTTCTCCCTATTTAGAGAGTGGGGTGTGTGTGTGTGTGTGTGTGTGTGTGTGTGTGTGTGTCAATAGGGGCTGTGATTTTCAGATAGATAGATAGATAGATAGATAGATAGATAGATAGATAGATATAGATGATAGACAGATACTGAGGCTCCCATAATAGATGCTTTAGATATTGGAGTTTCCCATAATGAACACTGAAAACAATTCCCCTAAATATTGGGGAGGGGGGATACTATGCCGTTTGTTGCTTAACATTTCATGTTGTAAAGTTTTAAGAAATATACCTTACAACTGGGACTGCCAACAAAATGGTGCAGCATGGAGTTCTCTTCTTCAGTATCCCAACTAGCTAGCTATGCCACACACACACACACACACACACACACACACACACACTATTCAAGTTGTGTTTTCTACAGATCAGTTTCATTTGTTGTGAGACATTAGTGTTGCATGCAATATTATGTTAGGAAGAAAAGAGGGGCCTTTTCTAGGACACTCAACCATTCTCACTCCCCCTAGTTTTCTGTCTCTCCTCCCCCCCACCCCAATGCTAGCCCTCTCAGGGTTTCTAGAAGTTAAATCTCTGGGTGAGAAGCAGGTCCGTAGTGACTCTGCTTTTGCTGCATATCAAAGCACACTGACATACAATTCTGGCACGTCGCTTCCCTTCCATCCCTGCCTATGCAGAGAATAAATGCTGCCGAACGGGTCTTGGCTGCAGCTATTCTGTAATAACTACAAGAAGATCACTGTGAGATTAAAATTCTATTAAAGTTTTCTTTTCTTTTTTAAAAAGGTAAAAGTGTTATCACCGGTTTGCCAAGACACCCTGCTTCAAAATTCAGTGCAGGACAGGCTATGTCATTGGAAGTGAATACAACATATATCAGGTGGAGGAGAGCTTCAGCTGTCTAATGGGGAGGAGGGATTAAGCTGTGATCTGTGGGGTGAGAACAGCAATGCTAAAGAAGTATACAGGGAGGCTCACCTGGCTCCGTTGTGTATCTTTAGGCACCAGGCATAAACATTCCTCATTTCCCAGGCCTTTGGCTAATTAATCTATGGCCTTTTATACCGGGCAGAGGAGGGAGACGTTTATTACTATTGTTTCTTACCAGTGCTATTTTTCTGGAAACAGAGGTGCCAGAATTCACCATGAACACCTCCCTTGTTCACTTATACAGTGGTACCTCGGAAGTCGAATGGAATCCATTCCAGAAGTCCGTTCAACTTCCAAAACGTTTGGAAGCCGTGGAAGCCCTGTCGGACGTTCGGCTTCCAAAGAAAGTTCACAAATCAGAACACTCATTTCTGGGTTTGTGGCATTTGGGAGCCAAAATGGACGCGTACCAAGGCGTTCAACTACCAAGGTACGACTGTAATGGTAATGGCGCCCATTTGAGAGGTGCCAGAGCTTGGTTCCTGTGAGTTCCGCCTGAAGAATGACCTGTTTGTTGTGCATTTTTGTGTTTCAATATTGCACACTGCCCTGTAATCAGAGGTGGTAATGCTTCTGAATACCCATTGCTGGAAACTGCAGGCGGGGAGAGCATACCCTCCAACATTTGTCTGATGAAAATAGGGACATCCCATTCCATAATGATAATTTTACTATTTATACCCCACACATCTGACTGGGTTTCCCCAACTGCTCTGGACAGCTTCCAACATATAATAAAACATTTTTTTAAAAAAAACCTTCCCTATGCAGGATTGCCTTTAGATGGCTCGGGGGTTGGATAACTCCATACCCGTCAACATTTCGCCAATGAAAATAAGGACATCCTAAGGAAAAGTGGGATATTCTGGGATCAAATCAGAAACCGGGATGGCTTCTCTAAATCATGGTCATCCCTGGAAAATTGAGGCACTTGTAGGGTCTGGGAGAGGGCTCTTGTGCTCAGGCCCTGCTTCTGGGTTTTCCACAGACATCTGGTTGGCCACTGTGAGAATAGGATGCTGGACCAGATGGGCCATTTGCCTGATTGAACAGGCTCTTCTCATGTACCCTTTTAACTTCTAGAAACTCAGTTAAAACGATCAATATGAAAAACGTGGGTAACTTTCACAGAAAAAAAAAGGAATTGATTGTTAGAAAAATACAGTATTGACCAAGCAAATGCCAAACGGTGCTGCTGATACAGAACACAAATCACAATCAGGGAGAACATTCAATTGCAGTTAAAAGCCGATGCAAACTCTCGGGTTGGCAAAAGAGAAAAGCAAAGGCACTTCAGATTGCTGTGCGCTGTGCAGACTCCTGTGGTGCACACTTACGAGCTAGCCTAAACAAAGAAGTTTCGGACTCTGCAGAAGCTCAAATGCATGCAAATATGCCAGAATGCCCTTCCAGGCAGTAAAGTAATTCTCCCGGTTAGAGAAATTGAAACTCCATTCATTGTTATATAAAACATCCTCTTGGGCTGTGATCGACCAAGTGACTATGTTTACCTCAGGCACCTTTGGAAGCAGCACACACTGAAGGGAGGTGGAGAGGTATCTTTGTTGCGGCAAAACAGGAGGAATGTTTTCTCTCTGGCTGCATTGTTGATAAGACAGCCCTTTCATGGTGATGATGGTGCAGTTATTCCTTAAAGGAGAATGTGGCCGAGAATTGTGAAACTGCCTTTTCCCACCATGCTGACCCATGTTATACATGTACCGTTATGCAGCAATGCAGCTTAGATCATGTTATACTCTGGGCTTCAGAAAAGACTTGCCTGGTGAGTCAGAGCTGCAGTGTGTGATGGCCTAGGACTCGGGCTGGGACTCAGAACCAGAGGAGTCTCAGTCTGCACCAGAACCTTTGCCTCAGGCATCATCTGAACGAAGTTTGGCCTGACCCTGAAGAGTTCCAGTCTGCACAGGTTCTCCTGCAACAAACACCAGCTGGGCTGAGTCAGGGGCCTGAGCCTGCCCTGGCTCCAGATGCGCGGATTACCTCGTTGCCTTCAGCTGGGCCATCACATACAGCTGCTCCACTTGGGTCAGGGGAGGCTGAGGCGGCCTCTGGGTCTAGCAGCCCACCAACGTCTCCCGAGCTGCAAAGACTAAGGTGTGAGAGAAGGAGAGACCTGAGTACTTACAGGAGGAGTGCTCGCCTTCTGGTGAAACAGGGTGGTGAGTCGCCGGGCTGTTACCCCGACAAAGATAAAAGGCTGTCAGACCCCGCCCCAGGTTGTGGGAGTAACATTGCTGTATGCCAGATCTTGCACCTGTCCTTGCCTGGTTTCCTGCCTCGGCCCTGTCAGACCTACTCCTAGTGGAACCTTCGGGTTCTGGACCAGTCCTGGACCGCGTTTCACGGGTTACCACCAGGCCCAGCACACAGTGCTAACTTCCTGGCAGCAACATCAATGACAGTTACTGGGAGGGCTGGCAGCCATAGTCCAGAAACATCTCTAGGGGAGCAAAACATTGACTACCCTTGTGTATTGTTCCACTTACTTCAAAAGCCGGTAAGCCAACTCTGCTGCACTTCGGGGCTCTCTTGCTCATTGTGCTGAGTTGGATGCTAGACTTCTGCTCCAAAGTCTTCCCCCGACTGCATCCCTATTTCTGTGCTGAATTTGTAAGTACTCTTCAACCCATTGAATTTCACCAGCATCTTCCACCGCTGGTTACACTCAGAGGCAAACTGCTGTACTAAATGGACCTTTGGTCCAGCGCAGAGTGTTCAGTGAACCACTCACTGACTGGGTGGCTTATAGCCCTAAAGTGGCTTGAATCCAAGTACCAAGATATAACTGGATTGTGCTCTGGGCTGCAGCTCTCTTTATGTGAAGATTAGCTTGGATTCATCTGTTTGACACAGCTCTACAGATTTAATCCGATCTATTGCATTTGACACCCATGAGCGTGAGGCCTTGTATCATTAATCCAACTGAAAAATGAAGATGTGTTTCTCTTTGCTTTCTGCCCCTATCAAAATAGCATGCAATTTTGTTCCCATATTTCATCTGAACAAGCCACCCTTTGTACAACCAGATAGAC